ATATGAGCCAACTTCTCCGTGTTTGTTGGCTCACAAGCAGAGTACTAAGGAAACAGGTATCTATTTTGATTGACACTTTACAAAGTGTTGAGTAGACCCACAATACTACAAAGAACAAATGGCAGAAACTAGTAAACAGTATTGCCAGACAGATTTATGTTGCAAAGAGATGACAGTCCCAGTACTAGAAAGGTGTATCGTCTATACCAGGCATGTCCAAAGTCCGGCCCGCGGGCCATTTACGGCCCGGGGGTCGGTTTAATACGGCCCTCCAACAGCCCTCCCTGCTCTGTGTAATGTGGCCCTCCCTTCTATGGCAGACAGTCTTCTGCTTGAGAGCAGAGGGCAGTGCGCATGCCTGACTGCGGCGCGTTCTCCCTGGTCTGTGTAAATGCGGCTGTCGCACGGCCCTCCCTTCTGTGGCAGACAGTCTTCTGCTTGAGAGCAGTGCGCATGCGTGACTGCGCCGCGCTGGGAGCGACAGAGGGCGGTGACGTCAGGGCCGGGCTTCCAGCGTGAATTGTGTTTCTCTTCCCCTCCCGGCTGCCGAGCAGAGACTTCAGCTCCAGCTACCTTTTTCACCCTTCACATTAGTGCAGGTAAGTTTTTTTAAAATTTATTTTCAATACATTGTGAAAACTCAGCTGTCAGTTGATCTTAATGTTATGAAATGAAAATTATGTGTTTGCAATTAACTTGGCATAAAATAATTTATTTGCATTTAATTGTAATGGTTCAAAGAATGTTCGGAAAAATGTTCGGCCCTCCACCATGTTCACTTCATCCAATCTGGCCCTCTTTGAAAAAAGTTTGGACACCCCTGGTCTATACCATATTGAAAGCTGAACTCCAGGGGAACAGCTAAATGCGCCATTGAAAAAGACATTTAGGAGCTGTATTTATGTCCATTCAGTACTGAGATTTACACAGTCTTGTAAGACATACCAGCCATACTGGTGACATGACTTTTTGGCTTCTGCAGTTAAGCAGCACATCATGCTCACCTCTCTGCTCCCATTCTGTGCATGAACTGTGAAAGAGCAACTATAGACCGATGAGCCTATTGTGCTGCTCACTGTCAGCATGTTACATGTCTGCATATGTGAAGGCAGGACACCTGATTGGTCCCCAAGCAGGGGCGGACTGACCATTTGGAAACTCGGGCACCGCCCGAGGGCCCGGGGTCAGTAGGGGGCCCCATGAGATGCCCCTGGTACCTTTTTCATAGGCTTTTTTGAGTTTGGGCAGGGGCACAGGGGCCCCATGATCCCCTATTGCCCGGGGGCCCCATGAGTTGTCAGTCCGCCCCTGTCCCCAAGTCCTGAAATCAACTCAACGCCAGGTATTTATGCTAGTTGCATTTAAAGGAAACTTCATGATTCTTGTAAGGTAAATACATAACTGCATACTTTAGTGTCTTTTAACCGCTTCCCAACTGCCCTATAGCAGATATACTGCTACAGGGCGGCACAGGTGCACAAAATCACACATATATATATATATATATATATATATATATATATATATATATATATATACACGTGATTTTACATATCTGGGTAGGATGCACATGCGTGCCCTACTCGCGCCACCATTTGCGGCCGCGGCTGTCAGTCACCGGATTCCCGGTCGGTGATTACTGAGTATCTCCAATGGGGACAAGAACTGTTTTCCTCCTTGTCAGCTCCTGCACACTGCTTTGGATGGCTTTGCTTACTGCGAAGCACAGGGACACAGCCCCTAGTAAAACAGCACAGGACACACAATTAACCCTTTGATCGCCCCTCGTGTTAACCCATTCCTGCCTAGTGCCATTAGTACAGTGTCAGTGCTTTTTTTTTTTAGCACTGATCACTGTATTGGTGTCACTGGGGATGTCAGTGACACCAAGTCAGTTCCCCCCAGTGTCAGAATACCGGCCGCAGTCCCGCTGTAAATCGCTGATCGGTGCCATTACTAGTAAAAATAAAAATTCCAGTATCTATACTGCCAGTTGTAAACGCTATAACATTCACGTAAACCAATTAATTTACACGTATTGGGATTTTTTTTTTTGTAGCAAAGACATGTAGCAGAATACATTTTAGTGTAAATTTATGATGAAATTTTATTTTTACATTTTTTTTTACTGGACATGTTTACTAGCAAAATGTCAAAAATATAGTTTTTTTCTCAAAATTGTTGGCATTTCTTTTTTATAGCGCACAAAATTAAAAACGCATAGGCGATCAAATACCACCAAAGAAAGCTCAATTCGTGGGAAAAAAAGGACGTAACATTAATTTGGGTGCAGCGTTGCATGACCTCGCAATTGTCAGTTAAAGTAATGCAGCGCCGTAATGCAAAAAAATGACTGGTCAGAAAGGGGGGTAAATCCTCAGGAGGGCAAGTGGTTAATATCTGCCTGGAGTTCATCCTTCAGGCTTCTGTTGGCAGCCACTCCTCTTTGTGTCTGCTCTTTCAGCTGCTTGTATTTTGCAAAGAGGAAGAAATCTGGGATCTGTTGATGAGTGATCTTGACCCATTTGTCTTGGAAGTCAAGGGGCACTGATACTGGAAGTAAATAGGAGCATCACATACTTCCTGAAAAGCCTTATCACTATGGAAGGACAGAGGCAAGTCAGCCATGTGTCTGTCACATCCCTATTGAAAGACAAACATTGAATCTTGTACCACTCACAGGTATCCTTAGGACAACATACATTTTAACATGTATAAGTAAAAAATACCTAAATAAAAAAATATTTTACTAGCATAAGGACACACCATCTGATTATCAGTACATCAAAATGAAAATCAAAAGCAACAAGCAACCAAACTCCCCTTCTCGGCTCTATGTTAGGGATGGGAGAAACTGCCTAGGATAGCTTTGTGGGGGTTCATGCAATCATGCTTGGAATTCACAAAATATGAACTTAGCAGTGAATCCAATCAAGTCTATGGGGGTGAATTCTTTAACAGATTTGCAATTTTTTAGGGTAAATTGGCAAACTACTTTACAAAAAGGCATGGGAAGTTAAGTAGTGGCATGGGGAGCATATGTCAATGCAAGAAAATGACAGTGGGAACAGGGTCGTGTTCATGCCTTTCACAGGCAACATGAAAATTAAATAAATCTTTGAAATAGCAGGTTTAAAGTGTTAATAAACCCACAACAGTAAAATCAGTCTTTGTATGCCGTAAAGCCTGCTTGTTATACTCCCTGTGGAACCTAAGGGGTTATTTCTCTGCACTGTGTAAAAACACTGTTTGATTCTGACTTATTTGATCCTCCCCTTCTTCTAGTATCCCCCTCTTAGCTCCTGATATGACATATTGTGTGGAGTCACTCTGCACATGCTCAGTTTGGTGTGTATTGCTAGAGAGGGTTTTTTTTTTTTTCTTGGGAGAGTGCATGTGATCAGCAAAGGGCCAATCAACACTGTCCAGACAGAGGTCAGGGGTTCTGCATTCTCCTAGAGCAAAATGAAAACTCCTCCTACAAGCTTTAACATGTGCTCTGCTGGACACGGATAGAAGTCACAAGACTGCTCTAACTTCTGATAAGAAAAGGTATTTAGCAGTTTAGATTTACTAACATAATTGTATTTCCATGTTCTGTGTACTGTGGGAGACCAGATATAGTGAATGCAGGGTCCTGGGTTTAGTATCAATTTAGAAAAAGAGAAAAAGGAACATAATGGGACTTTACTGGTACAGTAGCGAACAGACTCGTATTTATAAGTTTACATAATTATTTGAAATACATCTTACAATGACATCGTTTAAAAACAATACGTGGCTAACCAGCCCAAATAGTAATGGCATTGTCTTTTATAACATTGTTGTGTGTACTGTGGGAGACCCAATATGGTGAATGCAGGGTCCTGGGTTTAGTAACACTTTAAGAGATGTTGTTAGTTGCATTTCAGAACAGGCACGATTTTAAGACAGTCTCTGTCACAGTTAGTGATGAGCTGAACTGCCCTGGGTTCACCAGTTTGAGCAAGGTTAGGTGCACTTCAAAGAGGTTCGGATGCCAACCCCAAAGCCCATTGAAGTCTAAGTGAGCCAAATCTGTAAAATTAAAATGATCATTTTCTGGCCTAATAGGCAAAGGGGTGTTACTGGTGAAGGATCTGGGAGTTGTGGTAGATCACAAGCTTAATAATGGCATGCAATGCAAAGCTGCAGCTTCTAAAGCGAACAAAATCCTCTCTTGTATTAAAAGAGGTATAGACTCCAGAGAGAGAGATATCATATTACCCCTGTACAAATCATTAGGTTTCTTCACAGTAAGAGCTGTGAAAATGTGGAATAGACTCCCTCAAGAGTTGGTTCAGGCCAGCTCAGTAGATTATTTTAAAAAAGGCCTGGATTCTCTTAGATACACGGAATATAACTGGATACTAACATTTATAGGTAAGTTGATCCAGGGAATATCCGATCGCCTCTCAGGTTCAGAAAGGAATTTCTTTCCCTGCAGGAGCAAATTGGATCATGCTTTGCTGGGGGTTTTTTTGCCTTCCTCTGGATCAACTGTGGGTATAGGATTATAACTGTTTTTTGGGGGTTTTTTTAATGGTTGAACGGGATGGACTTTTGTCTTTTTTCAACCAGACTAACTATGTAACTATGTGTCATAAATAGCATAGGGGGTGGGCATTGGCTTGAGGAACATGTACCATTGCAATTACCGTATTTTCCGGCGTTTAAGGCGACTGGTTGTATAAGACGACCCCCTAATTTTCCAGTTAAAACATAGGTTTTGGGCTATACTCATCGTATAAGACTACCCCCCTTCTGAGGCAACACCATTTAACCCCTAGCCTACAGGGCACTTATACCCACTTCCCCCCCAGGCCAATTTTCTGCTTTCAGCGCTGTCACATTTTGAATGACAATTGCGCGGTCATGCAACACTGTACCCATATGAAATAGGTGGCACTGATGAGGAGGCACTGAAAGGCAGCACTGATACATGGCACTGAAAGGCAGCACTGATACATGGCACTGATAGGTGGCACTGACTGGCACTGATAGGTGGCACTGACTGGCACTGATAGGCAGCACTGATGCGCACTGATAGGTGGCACTGACTGGCACTGATGGGTGACACTGAAAGGCAGCTCAGATGGGCACTGATATGTGGCATTGATGTGTACTGGTAGGCACTGATATGTGGCATTGATGTGGCACTGATGGACACTGACGGACACTGACAGGTGGCACTGATGGACACTGACAGGTGGCACTGCTGGGGCTACACTGATCATCAGGGTACACTGATCATCAGTGCCCTGATGATCAGTGTACATGTCCCCTCCGTGGAAAGCCGATTACCGGCTCTCCTCTCCTCTGTCCGAGGGACACAGCGCATCGCCGCGCATGCGCGGACAATCGGAGGACGTCATAATCACGGCAAGTGATGTATTCTATTAATGAATACAGAGCCTGCTCGGATTGGCTGCATCAGAGAGGGGGGCTGATGATGTCACAACTTCAGCCAATCCGAGCAGGCTCTGTATTCATTAATAGAATACATCACTCGCCGTGATTGGCTCAGTGCGGTACACTGTATGTAGCTGAAGCTGCCATACAGTATTACCGCACATCTAGCGGTTCTATACCCAGCGTATAAGACGACCCCCAATTGTTGGGGTATGTTTTTAAGTAAAAAAAAGTCATCTTATACCCTGGAAAATAATGTAAATAAAAAAAAAATCAATTCAGCAATGAGCAGTGATTTTTCAAATGCTTAAAGCGGAGCTCCACCCAAAAGGGGAAGTTCCGCTTTAAGGACTGCTCTTCCGCTCCCCATTAAGGATTGGCACCTTTGGGGGGCGGGGGGAAGCGGGTACCCAAATTTGACAGGTACCCACTCCCACTTCCGGTCCGATCGCCTAGGCAACTGGAACCGGAAGATGTCCTCCCTCCCTCCCTGTAGTCTTTTGGGGCACATGACAAGTCCCAGAAGACTACAGGACCATTCATGAAGCACAGCACTACTTGCACATGCGCAGTGGGTACCCGGCTGTGAAGCCACAAGCTATCACAGCCGAGTGCCGACACTGAAGATGCCAGCCTCCTGGAATACAGGACAGCCAGTGAAACGGGCTGCGGGGGACACACCGTGGGACCGAGGGACAGGTAAGTGGCTGTTTTTTAAGTCAGCAGCTACAGTTTTTGTAGCTGCTGACTTTTATTTTTGACAGGGTGCATGGAACTCCGCTTTAAAGTGAAAAATGAAAAATGTCCACTTACTTTAATAACATCTGTGGGGGTGCCATAACCCTGCCTGTGAAAGGGCACATCTCTTCTGTGTACAGATAGTGCTGCAGCAACCCTGGCATTTATAAAAAAAAGTTTTTCAATTGCTGAGTTGGGTATTTAAATAGGTTGCTGCATTTCTTGTAAGTTGGGTTTAATATACCAAACGCCCATGACAATTGCTTTGCAGTGATAACAGCAAAATTTGCAAACAAAATGTAATTTTTGTCATCTGTGCTGTACAGTAACCTTAAGAGGCCAACCCTGACCTAAATTCAGGTATTTGCACTGCTCACAATAAATAAAATACATATTTGTAAAACTATATATAGATTGTAAGCTTCTTGAGGGCAGGGACTGATGTAAATGTACAATATACATTCACTGGCCACTTTATTAAGTACGCCTGTTCAATTGCTTGGTAACATTGCTAATCAATCAATCAATCAATCAATCAATCACATGGAGCAACTCAATGCATTTAGGTATCTAGATGTGGTGAAGACGACTTGCTGAAGAACCCCTGTGATATTTACATTTTTAATATGGAGCATGTGCAGGGCTGTGGATAACAGGGTACCACCAGTCCTCCTGTACGGGGCCTAGGCCAGCAGGGGGGCCCAGGCAGATGGGTGAATCAGATGTAGGCCGGGAGGGTGATCAGCATGGCGGGGGGAGAGGGCAGTTATTGGAACCGATCCCCTGTATGGCTCTCTCTGCAGCAGCTGAAAGCTGGCTTCTCTCCTCTCTGGTTTCAGCTGCTGCAGAGAGAGCTATACAGGGGATCAGTTCCAATTCCCCCACCACCACCACCGCACTTATAAACCTCCCTGTGCACCATACATTTCCTCCTGCTGCCAAGGCCCCCGTGCTTCCCTACGCCCACAGTGCTGACAGCTTCTCTCCTTTCGTTGCCACTGGCAGCTGCAAGCACTAGGACAATAGGAGCCTTCAGGATGGAGAGTGGGGAAAGGTTCCAGTAAATATGTTACATTTACCAGACCTTTCTTTTCCTGAATGAACAGAATGAGTGATCGGTACCGATCACCCGCTGTGTTCATTCATAACTGAAGTATCGTTAACTGTGTTTTTTGGTGGGGGCCTGTTAGGTTGGCTGTATAGGGCCCCATGATATCTAACAGCAGCCCTGAGCATCCCAAACAAACAAGAGAGAACATACAAACTTTTAACTAATGGGGTGTAAGCCGTGTACCAGGGTGGGCTCCCCAGGATACAGTGAAGTCACGAACGAGGAAGGCAACCCCAACACCAGGTTTTGCCACAACAGAATTTTACTTAGATGTGGCAAATAAACACAACCACAAATGCTGGGAACATACAATAAATTTACATACACCCAGCCCAAAGGCTGAGACCCTTGTGCTGCACAGCACGATGCCTTCTGATGGATGACGGTAGAAAGCGAAGTAATTTACCTACTGGCGGGCACAAATAAGCAGCCACACCTTACCTGTTATTACCCTAAAAGAGCAAGAATCAGTGTATGGGTGTATGGTATGGGCTAGCTAGCGGTGCAGCACAACAGCTTACAATCTTACACAAATCTACAGTATTTCCTCTCCCATAACTGGTCCTGTAGCACGTGCCTGAGTATTCCTTCTAAGCAAAACGCCAGTCTGGCTTGAGTTTGTGGGATTTTATCAGCTCTCCAATGTGAAATGTCACTTTAAGTTGTGGAGTCCTTCCAATGATCGGTAACAACACTTGTGGCCTGACACAAACAGAGACCCTAACTAACTAACTATAGGCTTGTCTCAGTCTCTGGAGGCGCCAACACTGAAATGAGGTGCGTGCACGATCTTACCGACCCGGGTCTGCCTTGCATCCGCTGGTGACTCAGAACAGAACAAATGTCTCTCCAATAAGCATGCAATCTCATCAGCCTTCCTGGCAGCGATCTTCCTTTCTCTGAACAGGATCAGCGTCCTGAACACCATCAGATTCATTAGCTGCAGTTCTCACACCTGGATGCCAACAGATTCTCTGCTCACATGGCTCTTTTCCTTCACCATCATCAAAACATGGCTGCAGTCTCTCTTCCTGTTCACTGAGCTCCCATGTGTAAAACCCCACCCCTTCCTGAATATAGAAATATCTATGCAGTCTGAGGCTGTGTTAGAAAAATAGTGACATCTTGTGGCTAAATCGCAGAATGTCAGTAAAACATTTCAAAACATTTAATTCACAATGAGTGCTGTTTCCCCATCTCACAGGGGCATGAGGGAAACTCTAAAGTCAGCCCCCACACACACACACACACACACACTTTCAAAATGTTAATATGAATCCTATCATAAATACTAAGTAATGCTCCATATATAAACCAATAAATCTATATATTTAGGCTAGTCATACAGTGTGGGGGTTAGAGGCAGAAATCAATAATTTCTTACATCCACTCTAAGCAGCATGGATAGGGGTATTCCCAATGCCAGCTATCGTATTTAAATAGCCAGAGTACCTATGGCTGCATGACTACCGGAACTGGTAGAATGCGAGCACGGTGTAGCTGCCAATTTTCTCCCTGGCTCAGTTGATTTTTGACTCAACTTTTGTTGAGCTGGGTGGCATTAACAAAGCCCCACAGCTTGAATTTTGGCCCATTCAGCAGGAATTGGCTGAAATTTGGCTAGCATTAGACCTAGATGTTCTTGGTTTTCTTGGTCTGTTGTGAAGGTATACAGTTCAACTGTTTTCTTCAATCTAAATTTGATATCCGTCACTGTCCAAAGGCCTCACTGCTGTGATGTTCTTTCTTACTGTCTTTTCATTTCCTAACACCTGGTTGACATGCATTATGAGGAAGTGATCTTGGGGTCAGGGATTTTGTGAGGTGCTGTGATTTATTGCTGCATCCTCACTGTATTTCCTCCAGCACAGGACACACTAGGGAGTCATCTAGCATAGGACAAAGCTTAGATTTTACTAATAGACCCCGTCAGGATCCAGCCGACATAGGAACGCCGATAAAGAAATCCAATCATTGTCATAAATTTAAATGGCCCCTGATGAAAAGGTGCATGGGACAGATCTTCATCCCCTTTTCCTGGAAGTTTCATGTTGATAACAGGAAACAGCCAGCATGGTGTAATTTCCTCAGGTACAAAAAGTAATTTATTTGCACCATTGCCTCTCCGGGATATCAATTGTTTAGATTATGTTGCCGCGTAACATTTCAGAACAAACATATTGCTCATGTGTACAAGTTACAGCTGATAAGAGTAACTGAATTGTGGAAGAGGCGAGACTGTGCAGGTGAGTTCACTCTAGGCACCTCTCAGGTATTTTTCCTGTCAAGACGACAGAGCTGGAAAAGAATATTTATTTTTCTCAGGCTTAAAAGAATTACAGTGAGTGAGATGATCATGAATGATTCATTGTCGTAGAAGTATTTGGGCCATTGTAGCTACATTGTAGCTTACATGTTTTAAAGATAATAATCACTAATTCTTTTTAAAAATATCCATATATGTCAGGGCAGCCCTTTGCACCCTTTTCCAACTGCTCTTTCTTTTCTTCTGATACTCTCAGCACTGGTAATCCAAACTGGCTAAAGTCCGGAGGCCAGACAAAAAAGGAAAACTCAGATCCCATGCTTATAACTACCATACACAAGGGTACACAAGGATATAGCACAAGGAAAAAGCATCAGAAAAAAATTTGGCAAAAGCAACATTTTATTTCAGTTTTCATGTTTGAGAACGGCTTATATACAAATAACAGGTCCTCTTTAAAGTGACAGACAAAGCAAAGGTCTTCTTTAAAGTGTAAGTTGATCTTTCCAAAACGCACACTATGCTGTGCCACATGGGTGTTCTAAATCTACCTACCAGCCAGGGCTCCCTTTATGTTTAAACAAAAATCCCACAACTGCATTTAGAAGAAGCTTCTTCAAGTCCTCCACAGCCTATGATGGCTCTGTCCCAAGTTATTGTAGGCATGGAACAGTTGGGATCAGTGCCCCCTTGTACCATAAGAAGAATCAGCATGCTGTTCTTTTGGGTCATTCATCCACAGGAAAGAGTGCCATCTTGTCCTTTTTGGCTGCACACATGCACAGTGTCTATTCTCCCCTGTCGCAGACACTGAGCTCATCATCACACAATAGAGAGTACAGTCCAAAAGGACAGAATGATGCTCCCTCC